GATTTTATTTCTTATAATATTATTTATAATATCAATGATATTAGGTTGACGAAAATTTATTTATAATTTGTTTTTTTATAATATTATATATGTTATTATATTATAAAAACTATATTTTTTTTATCTTAATAAAAAATAAATATAAAATTATTAATATTAATTAAGTTAGTAAAAAATATAGTTATTAAATAATAATGATTTATAGATTATGTAATAATGAACTAATAATAAAAGTTGGTCAAATAATAATTATATTGTGATGATTTAAAAAATAAAGTCAATAATAATTATATGATGATAATTACCCTCATTCACCTAAAAAGCAAACCTAATATATAGGTTGGTGTTGTGTAGAGTGGTGTGTCCAAAGTAGGACCCATAAATTATAGTTAACAAATTTGACTAAACTGAAATGGACAACCATTTAAAGACCACGTTGCTAACAAACAACGACCACGAGCCACTAAATGGACCCAAAATTAAATAACTCTGAAATTGATGTCAACTTAAAAGAACTATAACCTTATTCATTATTTTATTTAAGATAACAAGTTTATAGGTAATAAAACACTAAAACTTATTAATTTTTTGTGTAAATTTCATACAAAAATAGTTTCACAGATTCTAGTTTGTAAATAAATAAACTTTAAAAGTTAAATGAGGTTTCTTATGTAAAAAAACATCAAAACATTGCCGTCTCATTCTTCGAATCATAGATAGATACCATACATATACATACATATATACATCTCAAAATTCTACAAAACGAGATTACACTTTCTACAAATTTCTCTTCGGAAAATTCCCCCTCTAGATCTTTTATACTTACAAATCATCATCAAAAGGGTAAAAAAATTTAACTTTTTTTTTTTGCGGTTAATAACCCTAATTTTACTTACATACATATTACATAAACCCCCTACTTACAACTTATTTACAAAAATACCATGTCTCTACCTCTTTTCATCCTCTTCAAAATGCCTCTCATCAATTCGCTAATTTCTTATGTACTTGATAAGAATTTGAGGGTGAGGGGTTTGATTTAAGCATTAAGCCCGGGCAGGGATACTGCAATTATTACATTCAAACCCCTCAATCCTGACAGCTGGTTTATTACCAAAATTGCCACCAACATTTCCTATTTTCTTTTCAGATGATGACTTACAAATGTTGTCCCCATATCCGAATCGGGTGTCTTGTGTTAACGGGTTAGATACTCTACTTGGTGGTGACCCACTGAAAAACGGTTCGGATCCACCATATCCACTACCCTGTAAATTGTAATCACACAAATCAACAAATCAAAAAGATAATCAAGTGAATTAAGTAAGATGATGATAGGGGTAAAGTAGAAGTAGTTACCTTTTCAAAGATGATTTCCAATAGGTCAATGCTTGCTTTGGATTCATATGGTTCTGGTTGATAGCTGTGAAGTGAAAAGATTGTTTTCTGAGTTTATTGAGAATTGAAGATTTGATAAGAGAAATGGAAGAAGGAAGAAGGAAGAAAGTTTACCACATCTGCCATCTCAAAGGCTTGACAGGGTCGTTGAAGAGGCTGAGCCGCCTAGGTTTTGGACACACCATATGATGCTCCGATTTGTCAAACGATACAGAAACTGAAACGGAGTTCCTCATCTCTTCACAAGTGGATGCGAAGGTGTTTTTCTGTTGGATTCCACAATGATTCATATCTCGACTCTCTTCTTCTGTGTAAAATAAGAAGAAAGTATGAGAATCAAGTCATATAGATGAATCCGAGATCTGAGGGAAGAGGAAAAAAACAAAGTGTTGTAGATAATTTCCAAATTACAGTGGTTTTAATTATAAACTCGAATATGGCAGATATCGATCTGGTCAAAATGATTTGAATATTTTAATGTTTGAAGGCTTTAGACGGCTAAACGAATTTAAAATTCACAAGTTCGATTACGAAAAAGGACAAGTATCAAAACTAAGCAGATCCATTGTAGAAATCGTGAACTCTGTTTGTTTTGAATCAATCATAATTTATATGTCTTCATGATGGAGATGTTTCGAGTAACAAACAAAAACAACACCAAATTAAAAACTAATGCGTGATTGACTATGTAGCGAAAAGGAAAGCGTTTGATTTCAGAAGAACTCAAAATCACGATACTTTCTTCGCTTCACAAACACAAATTCGATTGAAAGTTCTACGAGATCTAAAAAAATCATGTTCAAAAAAAAAATCGGACTTTTTGTTTTAATCGAGGCGGCTACTGTAGAAAACAAAGAACAAAAATATACTTTCCTGCGAATAAGTGATGAAGTATACTTGAATTATCTTCTAATAACTCAGATCTGTATATCTCCATAGATGAAGCTGATAAACCAGGGACGAAAGCGGATAACAGTTGCATATTTGAATCGACTAAGAATACGAAATTAAACAAACATAAAACTACGAAAAAAACTTAAATCTAGAGGAATTCATACATAATCGAGAAGAAAATTTAGTTGATTTCTCACCTGATAACTGGAATCAGGAAAAGTTGGAGATAGATGCTGCTCTGCTTGAAGGGAAGCAAAGAAGCACGGGGAGGATAATGAGAATAAGCTATTAAAAAGGGCACGAGGAAATTGGTCAAATATTTGGACATAGGGTACGGGTTGTCTCCTTGTACTCGTAGTATACGTGTTCGTAGCGTATATTTTTATAGTATTCGTATTTTATTTCGTTGATTTCTATTTTTTAAATCTTATTGTATAAATAACTCTTTAATTGTTTTTAGGTTATATAAATAAAACATATTAAGCTAAAAATTATGAGTTGAAAACACAACTTTTGATGACGACAGATAATTTATTTTTTAAAACAGCTAACTAACAAAGTTACTAATCTTACTACTGAAACACAACAACAGCAACCAATGTCGGGTATGCATCCTCAACGAGTCATCAGTAATTTCAGCCCACTGCCCTCTTCTTCATCCTCCTCTAGAGATTGGCAACGGAGTTGGGTAATATAGTGACCACATCCCCAAATCCTCATCTTCATCGGAGAATATAAATAAACTTTCATCTTCATCCCCACCCCTCACGGGGGACAGGAGATCCACAACGGGAAATCACAGATTTCTTTTTCTCTTTTAATATGAAAACTTTTTGATAAAGAAAAATTTTAAATTTCAATTTTACTAGCATAAGTTTAAATATTTTACAAAATATAAAAATATCCATAAATTACATAAAAAAAATATATTCAAATTTTCTACAAAATTTAAATACATACATGAAAAATCAAATAGAAAAAAGTACCACAGTGATATTTAAGGTAAATTGATAAACCAAAGAGAAAAAAAAAATTATACACGAGTTTAAATTAGATAAAAGAAAAAGTATAATTTAACCAAGTAATTACTAATGAGTTAGGTACTTGTATCAAATTTTATGTATTATTAGTTGTACTATAAATATATGTATTGTATTATATATATATATATATATATATATATATATATATATATATATATATA